AAGCAAAAACAAACAAACAAAACTGTTAGCTACAAAATGATGTGATTTCACCCAGAAAGCGCTACAGTACCAAGCAAACACTCTAAAATATTGGGGAGACAAGTCAAAATCAAAGTTACGGAAAGGACATACTCTCAAAATAAAACCTAGTCGTCCTACGAATGAACGTGAAAAATAACCAGCTCCTGTCTCGCGCGCTCAAATGACCTTATGCAGTTGCGAGCGCCGTAAAAAAAAAATTAAACTTAAGTTAGAACTAACTTTTTGGTTATAGCCTACTCGTTGAGGCCCACTCGACATAATTTACATCATTTTTGGAGATAGGCCGTTTCGTTTCTTCCTGTCCAAGCCAAATCAACATGTTATAAACACTTCACAGCAGAACGAAAGAGGTTATAGATGAAGTACCTAAACAAAGGAATCAAACTTAGATCTTTAACACAAGTGGTAACACCCCCCCCCCCCAAAACACAATACATGTACCATGGAACATGTGGATGAACAGTGAAGGACAGACTGTAAAAAAGGTTAAAGTAATGGCTGGAAAACAGACATATAGCCTAGTAACTAGCCTAATAACTGCTATCAATTACCCTGTTCAACTTCAACATCTTCCATGAACAAATCATGACTGGCTATGCCTTTGTGAGCACAATCAAAATCGGTTGGCAAATAGTTACTAACCTCAGGTTTGCCGGTAACATTGACAGACTCGGAGGAAATGAAAAGAACAACTCGCCAGACTGGTGAAACGACTGGATGAAACATCAACCAGATATTAGTGCTGAGAAAACGAAGATGATGATGAATAGTGACGAACCCATGAAAAACAAAATTACGGTCAATGGTCAACAGCTTGAAACAGTCGACCAGTGGTTATAATAATAACATTTTAAAAATTTAAAATGATGATGATGATGATGATGATGATGATGATGATGATAATGATGATGATGATGATGATGATGATGATGATGATGATGATGATGATGATGAGATCCAGTTTGATAGCCCTTGGTGCTATCATCAGCCAAGAAGGATCGAAGCCAGAAGTCCAGACAAGAATTACATAAACAACAGAGGCGCTTACAGAACTAAGACCAATATATAGAAAGATAAAAACACCTCAGTCAATTCTAAAATCAGACTACTCTATGCCCTCGTCATCTCCATCTTTCTGTATGCCTGTGAATCATGGACCTTGACGGCAGAGCTTGAGAGGAAGATACAAGCAGCCGAAATGAGATGCTTTAGACGACACTTTGGCATATTTTACAATGATCACGTCAAAAATGAGGAAGTGCGTAGTAGAGTGAAACAACACAGGCCATTAAACTTGCTGTCTACTGTGAAGCGAAGAAAACTGAATTGGTATGGTCATGTAACAATAATTTATAGATTGTGAGGCCTGTCCAAGACCATTCTTCAGGGAACTGTGCAGGTGGGTGGGGGGGAGAGGAGGGTAAAGGAAGGGTGGACCGAAAACATGTCGGAATGGACAAGGGAAATCCTTCGCTGAAACTCAGGTGCTCTTGAAAATACTGTGAAAAGTGGAGGCACCTGACGATACTCTCTATCGTACAGAGCCCCTACGATCCTCGTGGATTATGGGATCAGTAAGCAGAAAGTAAACTAGTTTATGACCCGTGGTAACGTAATATATTTTATATTATTATGTCCTGTTTAGTATCATTTTCTTCCTGCCTTCTTAGACTGCACTTAGATCTAGCCTAGGTGTCTAAGGGGAGACAATTGTCGGACGAGGGTCAGGTGTGTTGCCTTTCACTACTTTCAGATATCTATGTTGTTCCTTTGGCTGGAGGGTCTAATAGTCTAATGTTCATTTGTTTCGTCTCTCTGCATTTTTTATTCCCTCGACTAGGTTACCATAATAATATTATTTAAAAAATAACCAATAACCCATTTGTGTTTATTGGACGTCACTAAAAGTAAATAAAGTAACCATCAAATAAATAAATAAACATATAAATAAATAAATATAAAGAAGCAAACAAACGAACAAACAAAAACAAAAACAACCATCTCTGCAGATACAATGTACTACTTTTATTCCCTGTAATCTCCTTTAATATTCTCTTTCATCTTCTTTTTTTCCGTTTTGATCCTTAGAGCTATATTACTGTTTGGGATGGGGTGCAGGGGTTTGAAGTTGGTTCGGGGGTAGGGGGGGGGCAATGGGTAGCGGGTAATAGGGAGAGGGAGTGGTGAGTAGGAAGTGAGGTCAGGAGGGAGGAGTTAGGGTGGTGAAAAAAAGGGGTGGGGTTTGTTTTTTTTTGGGGGGGAAGGGGTGGAATTAGATTGGAAGCATGGGTATGGCGGGTATTCATTTGTTATGATTTTAGGCTATCAGTCCCTATTCATTGCATTAGGATTACAAAGTTCCTCATTCCTCCTGACATTTTTGGTCGTTTGGAGTTACTCAGACCATGAGGTCAGTCAGAAACCAAATGTTCCATCTGCTCCGTCAAGATCGTACTATGTTTCTATGTCGTTACCAAGACATTCGAAGAATTGCACCCCAAAAAACTTGACATGTTGTAAAACTCATTTTTTAAAGTCAAATTTCTCGAAACTAAATACTGAGCATATAAGATAAGATAAGATAAGAATAAGGTACATCTTTATTGTCCAGATCCTGGCATAATGTGAGGTGTGCTGAGAAAATTGAGTTAAATCTCGGATTTTAGCCCTGTGGACACAGACAGATACATGAAACTTATGGGTTGGGGTTGTACAGTTTATTACATGAAACCATGAACGACATGTCTAACTTGAAGAAAAAATGGCATCACTTAAAAATCTACAAATATGATGCGCTTATTTTCAGCCGACATATCCATTCATGGTTTTGTCAACGCGCCTCAAATATAGAACTTTGTCATTCTAGGGAAGCTGCTTGTTCCTGGGCTTCTGTGTGATCA